TCAAGAGCTATAATAAATTGCGGTTCACTACATTGAAAGGCGCTAACTCCAACAAGTTTGACGCTAAGTCATGAACTGGGTGATATCTCAATTGAGTCTAGGCCAATTATACGACTTTTCAACTGCCACAATTGTCTTAGGTCGCTCGAAGTGGCCATTAGGGCTTCCACCATGCATTTCAGCAATGATATTGAGCGAAGCGACCCCTCTGGAATACACAATCTACACCCTTTGAAAAGGAAGCCATGAAAAGGTGACCAGGAACTGATGAATTTATTGAAAAGAGGAAGCTTTTCAAGTCAAGTTTCAATAGCTAGCCTTGGTAAAATCAGGAATCATAATGTATCAAAATCGTAAATCATCATTAGAGCCTTACTCCCAACTATTTGGGGTTGGCTATATGAATCGTTGTCCTCAGATAATGTAGATTTAGGGTTCATGGAAAGTTTTGGCAATGTTTTACGTTGGATGCCTACCTAACGCAACCCACATCCTTTATCTGTGCTTGGCATGGGTTAGCAAAATTTAAGGTCCTCGCCCTTCTTAAACCACATATACCCTTACATCTTCCTATGAATTTATATCCCTTCTTACACCACATATGCCCTTACATCTTCCTAAAAAGTTATATTCATGGACCAAGCCCTAACCTAGATCCAATCTGGACTGTTAAAAAAGGAAAGAAATCGTAATAAGAAATAACAATTGAACTAATGAAGAAGAAAAATCTACCATGAAAAGCATCATTGGAAACTTCAGAGGCTGGATTAGGGCTTTTAGAGGTAGTTTTTGGCAAATCTGGTAGGGAGACAAAAAAAAAGCAGGTTCATGTGTAGATTTTTCGATCACCTTTGAAAGGGCTGATCATATGCGAAAATCGGATGTATACATGCAAAACGTAATGGCCTTTGGAAGGTGTAATGTCTGAGTCGCCTATATTAAATGATAATTCCCCCCCTCCCAACAACAGACACGCGAAACCCAGTACCCACATGTCAATGCAATATGAGAGGTATTGTTATGCCCTTATACATATCAACATATGATATAATATATTATGAATAGATGGCTTAATTAGTAATAGTAGTAGTAGTAGACTAGGAGTACACTAATAGTTTAGTACTGATACACTTTTTCTTATAGGTGCATACAAAGAGAATAAAGAGGTTTGAGCAAAGGAAGCTCAATGACTTGTTTTTTGTTAGAGAGAGTCCAAGGCTCAAAGAGAAGTTTAATTAACAAAAGAAGGATCCCATCGCGTCAAAAGACATGGAGAATGCTCCTGATTGGCTAGTTGAGGACCTTGGTATTGAGGAGGTCTTCTTTGGGAGAGTTTGACCTGAGAAATGGTCGAGGAGGCTTTGGCTCGAGCTTCTGATCCTAGGAAGGCCACCAGAGCAATGCCTGTTGCTGGTACTTCACACTCACAGAGGGAGAGGGAGATAGAGGAAGAGGCAGATTTTGAAGAAACTACAGAAGAAGAGCAATATGTTGATGAGGGTGACAATTCTGATGATGACAACCTTGACTCTGATGCAAATGCAAGCAATATTGATGTTGATTCTGATTTTTAATGAGGATGATTGCAGAAACACAAATCCTCGCTTCTTCTTTTGTAGTATCTTTATTGTACCATCTTGGTTTGGAGTTTAGATATTTGGATAGACTTTCGGTTTTTCATCTATTTTATTGTTTGGTTTTATACTTTTGTAAGTTTCTTGAAGACTTGGAGAGTTGGAGACTTGGAGTGAAAGGAGGAGTATGTGACCTGGGCAAGTGAATACCGATTAAATATTTTCTATCTTTTTATTTGTATTACCACCCAGATCACTTACAGGTGTCCAAATATAATATATGAACCAAATGAAACCACAAGAATCCCAAGGACTCTCACTTGCTCGCCATCAAAAGAAAAATACATTTGTAACATGAATCTGAAAATTACATATGACTTGCAATAGAATTAAGAGAACATGAAACAAGAAAATGCGGCATTCCTTGCCTCAAGTTACCGCCAAGGACTTTGCATAACCCACACCACACTAGGTCTCCTCCACCTATGGCGCACGGGATCTAAGTCCAAAGTTGTCTCATAACTTGGGAAGCCTAGGAAAAATCTGCAGAGAGCTTGACATGCGATAGGGCTAGATCAAGGTTCAACACATGAGCATATGGCAAAACAAATGGGCTAGGCTCACGTGGTTTGGGTGTTCCACCCCTTAGGGTTTCTTTTCTTTCTAAACCCTAATTTAGAGAGAGGAAAATAGAGAGATTAGAGAGGGCGTGCCACCTCTAGAGACTAGAGAGAGAGAAACTAAGTTCAAATGTAGAGAATGAGGCCCTCATAGCTAGTATATATAATATAAGGGCTAGGGTTTTTCGGGTTATGGTTTTTCCATCAATATGAGACTCAATCTTGACCTTTGGTCATAGAAACCTGTGAGGTGAAGAGATCTTATCTATTAGATCAGCCATCATGATTCCTTTCAATGAGGTGGAACCATTTTGCTGCAGTTCCCATTACTCTATTCCCATCAAATATTGTTAAATAGAAAGTGCTATATTTATGTGGATCAATTTCACTTAATCTCTTACACTTTCCCTTTTGAAATCAATCAAAATCTCTGCACCACACTTTCTTAAAATTTTCCATTCAAAAGGATGGCTTATTACACGAGCGTCAAAATAGGAAAGAGAAGAAGAGGTGAGACGCCCCACCCTATGGGTGGCCATGTGAGCTCCATGCCCCTCTAATGTGGGCGCAATGAACCCCAATGGGCCCCCAACACCTTAAATAAAAATTTTATATATTAAAATAAATTTTATAAAGCCATTAATATTTTATTTTTCTCTCTGATTAAAATAAATTTTTTCTATTTAGAAATTATTTTCCAATAATATAAAATACACAGAGAGTTCTAAACAGTTATTTTAATTATCTGAAATCTAATTAAAACATATTTAAACACAATTAAGAAGATTTGCTGGGAATTGGATCCATAGAGTTAGGATTATGACAAATATATTGATTCCATCCTTTCTAGAAACCTTATCTCACTGCACCTTCTCAAACTGGTCCAATAGTTCTCATGACTCACAACTGTTTATAGGGGTTCATGGTTGGACTATCAAAGTCAACCAATTAAATAAAGGAAACACGATCCTAGTCCATGGATTACAGGTCCCTACCTGAGGACAAGTCCAGGCTCCATTCTAAAACTATGCACCATGGGTCCTTCCAACATAGTCTATTGTTGCAGGGAGTCAACTCTTCAACACATGTACAAAACACACGCCCTTATCCAAAAAGTCGTTTCCCGGACGGCCATCTAGTGTACATGCTGTGTGATAGCAATGATGAGGATTTAGGTTCTTGTCCTCTTCGGCCAACTATCATACACAGGGGTCACATCCAGACCCTTGGCCAACCTCCTCTGGCACAACTCCGACCTCATCTAGGGATAACCCCACATTGAGACCCTTATTGCTTGTGTTGATAATACTCAGGGCTATGGGTTTTAGACATCACCTTAAGCCATAGCCAGTCAAAGCTCAAGTGAGTCTTGGTATTAGTAATGCCTCGTAGTCCAAAGTGGACCACATTCCCACGGGAGTCAATATTTCACTATGATAATTTTAGTACATGCTCTCATAAGGCCTTTAAATGGCCACATAACCCCAACATGGAGTCCATGTTATTATGAAATATGAAGAGGTAGAGATTACTACTAATACATAGCCTATTAGATTTTTAAATTCTTTTAAATTTTGTATGGTTTGAATTTTGAAATTTTGAACACGCTTTTTTTTCTCAACATGAGAGACCATATGGTTGTTTATAAAAAAAGTATGTTACAATATTTTCAAATGCACTAAATCGTAAATTGACATAAATATATGCATATATCTGCGTTATATATATATATATATAAAGAGGGCGATGGGCGTCAGGTTGGCTGCCTAGGGGCAGTCTGACGGGTTTTGAATCCTTGCACCTTTTAGGAAGGAAACATATTATCTTATGAAATAAGCAGCTGGTGTTCCAAAACACGCCAGGCGGTGCGTAGGCAGCAGGGTCGTTGGTTCCTATCCACCCAGCACCTCGGTGGACCCCTAGGTGGCTGCCTAGAACTTGGACGGCCCAGGTGGAATAAAAAGGATAGGAGGTGCCTGATCCAACTATTTTAGGTCCAAATTTTGTGTAAAAACGAAAGAATGCTTATTGAGGTGAGGTCCGAAGTATTTGAGATTGGGACAATTAGTTAATAATACATTAAGAAAAATAGGAAAATATAGTCCAACATTCAAAATATTCAAAGTCAGTCATCAACTCATCATCAGGAAAAGGACCGAAATAACACATAGTCCATTGTCCACATACACTCCATGACTCTACTCCATAGTCCATTGTCTACATACCCAAAGTTTCACTCTTTTGATGTTTATCTCTCTCTTAAATGTCACAAATGGGGTTTAGGTTGCATAAGAACCTAACCATCGCCCCCTTCCGCCCCACCCCCACCCCCACCCCCACCCCCACCGCCACCCCCGGCTTCACCCCCCATTCCCCCTCTCGATTGCCCCCTTAATTTAGAAAGAAAAAGATGAAAATGGCCCTCCTCAAGAGGCATTTTTGCCCCTAGGCAGGCGCCTAGGGGTGCCACCCCCTTGGCCCACCTAGGTGGCTGCCTTGGGGCTTGACGGGCTGCTTTTTTAATTATTGTAAGCAGCATAACTCTTAACATTTTCATATCATGGTTACAAGAAATATATTAATAATATTTTAACGTCATGATTTTTATGTGCTAAAATTGATGGCTATCATTTCTCTTTAGAATTTGCAAATTTGGTTTTGTAAAAGCTTAAGCTTGTGTAAATTTTTTTGAAATTGATTCCCAAAAATACTACGTCAGTTCTTTCTTGTCCGTTTCTTATTCTTTTGATATTGTGCTTTGATTTCACTAGATTGGTATGCTCATTAGATTATTATGTTGATGCAGGTGGCATTCCAAAAGGGATTTTGTGTTCTCTAGGCAGTGGTTTCATTGCCAGGATGGCTCTTACAGTGAGCCCCTTTCGCCAAAATCTTCTGAATTTGCTTATCTACTTCATGCATTCTTGTTTTCAAGTAAAATCTTCAGTGGCATTGTTTAGCAAAATATTTATGGGGCAATTGAAGCCTATCTTCTATTTTAAGATATAACTTAAATTATATGATGGGGAGTCTTGAAATCTTAATCTTCAATCAGACCGCAACTTCCAAGCCTCCTCTCCCCAAATTCACAGTACTCTCTCGACGTCATCCCTTGAGCTTCATGTATTAGCCAGCCTCTCTCCACTTTCCTTTCGCTCGAGTACAGACGTCACTACAATCCGTGTTGGTAAAGGTTTGATCAACACTTGGATAACATCTGCTGCAGGAAGAAGACTTATCTTTTAGGACCAGCATTAGCCACGGGGTCACAAACCACCACTCACTTTCCTTAGTCCTTCCAACCTTCCCATCCTATTGCACAGCATCCTATGGTAAGGCATATTTATTTTGTATACAGCATACAGTGTACAAATGACTTCAGAGAGCCATTGTTGTGTACTCTAGTCCCTCAAAGGCTGTTTTTTCACTATTTACCTCCTAGCTGTCCTAGGGAATCTCTCTCATTTTGTGTTGTAGAGCTCCCTACTCGTGGATAGCCACTTCACTTTCCACCACTCTCTCTTTATCCCACCTCTCTCTCTCTCTCTCTCTTCCTCCCTCGCCCCCTCCCCCCCTCCCTCACTTTTCTCTCCACCTTTTCTCTTATTATCATCTGTATTCCCTCATCCCTCTCTGCTTTCTCTCTATTTTCTAACTCAGGGGATATGGTCCTTTCCTTTGTTCTAGCTTTATTTGTACACTTTTGAGCACCCGGAATGCGGGATACCACCACCACGCCTCGTGGTTTTTGTTAAGCATAAACTCTACTTCAATATATAGTCACCTTTTCTTCAAGAAAAATAACTATAAAATCATAAACTGGCCAATAAATGGCTAGCTTGGATGCTTCTATACAGTTACTGGAAGCACCAAGAAAGTGTTTCTGTCGGTAACAATTTACATTATTTTTACAAAATTATATATGCCTAAAGAGGATCTTGGTACATCTTTATGACATACATAATCATTGCCATTGTCTTCAAATTGCTAGACACTGTCTCGAAAATTTTAAGTACCCACCCACCTCCTTTTGTCCCAGATTTACTTCCGCCATGATCTTTTACAGAAGGTGGGCCATAGGAATAGCCACTTTTTGATTGATGTTTGCCATTAGAAGAAAGGTTAGTGCGCCGCCTCTTCCTTGTTCTAGTATATTTCTGTATTCCCAATGGAATAAAGCCAGTTTTCTGCTTGTCCATGAATTACGTGAACATTCTGTTGAAGTTGAGATGCATTTATAGTGATTGACCCTGTGGAGTTGTAATAGTTATCTGGATTTCATTAAACTGGGAATATCCTGTATATGCTGGTGCTAATATTCCTACTTATTCGTGTTGGTGTTTGCAGTTATTTTACAGTCTCCAGTTGTGCATAAGAAGCAGCCTCCAAAATCTGGCTACCGACGTACAAAACTTAATCGTGAGGACCAATTCAACTCTTTTCAAAATTAAAATAGGAATCAGAATGTCTTCATTTAGAAATTTCCCTAGTTTTCATTCATTATTTCTTTTAACATTTTCTGCCATTATAACTTAAGGATTTTAGAATGATCGATGAACAGAAAAGAAGGCTCGGTGGATTTTAAGATAAAACATGATTATTGCTATGGTGTTGTGCATTTTCTGTCTTTCTTGGAATTGGTTCAATTCAGTTGCGGCAATGAAGCCTTATGGAGGCATCACCATAACCATATAAATGTCTGCAGAGAAAGTTTTTCTTGATGATATCATTGGATAAGATCTAAATTTTGTTTTTGTGTTGGTGTAGCATCTATTTGGGAGATTAGAAGGTTAGACCCATCAACTACCAAAAATGCAAGATGTATTGTGACACAAATGATGGAGATACACTCCAGTGGTTGGGGAAGTTGGAAGAAGCATCACTTTTCAAAATTCGAGAAAACCATTCCTTATGCTCTATTGTGTCAGGTAGCAGGTTGTATGAGTAACTTGTTTGTTTCTCCTTTATCATTCTACCTTTTAATGTAACTCCTCTATTGGTTCCATTCTGTTGACTTGGAATATCCACTTATGCTTTTAGTGTTTGTTGGTAGAGTGAAAAGAATAAAGTTGACATTTTTTGTATTCTGAAATATCTCTTGTTGTCAGAAGATTGGTTGAACTAGATGGTAAAAGCAAAATAGATCTGCTAGTTATGAGTGAAAATGAGCTCTAAATATTTTCTGTTTGATTTTTTCTCTTTAGAAAACTAATATAAGTATTCACCGTTTAACAGTTTCAAAAAAAACTAATACAAGTATTGGGAAAGATAATCTGAAATACAATCCACCCAAGTCCAGTAATAGTTTTTCATAATTTATTTTGCATGATATGTGATCTGATGTATGTTAACTAAGATTAAAAAAAAAAAAGGTTGTTGGGATGCATGATGATGGTGTGTTTGACTTGCAAAGGGGTTGGACCCGTGCCAACAAGTAAGCCTTGAACTAACCTTAGAAGCAATGTTCTTCTCCAAGAATTGTGACCCACTGCCAAATGTGGCCATATCCTTGTGAGGACTTCCCTACTAAAATGTTTTCTCCCTTAATGTTCCCCCCAAAACTTTTAATCTTGCTCCCCAAAGAATGTGGCATTTAATGAACTGAGAGGAGCAATATGTGAAGGTGATAGTTTCTAAGGACCAGTGGTGGGATGGTGCACCTTTTATGAAATGGCTTCAACAATTGTAAATCAAGTAACATTTCAAAAAAAAGAACAAGCGTAAATCAAGTTCAGTGGTTCCTTGGGTTAGGAAGTGTTGGTTTAAGTATTCTAGTTCGAGATACCTCAAAATAGAGCCTAAACCTTTCCAATTAAAGTGGTAATAAACTGCATTAAAATCAAAGAATATAAATGAGTAGTAGAGTATTTACTAAAAATTAGTTTATCTATTTTGCTATTTTTGAAGACCTTTTTTCCTTTTACATATTAAATTTTAGGTTGTGGTCCTTTTTCTTTCTTGAAAGAAGAAAGGTGTGCACAGATGGGAGTTTTTCCTGATGAAGGAACTTCTTTTCCTTTTTCCCTTCTCATGAAGTGCAATTTCCTTGTTCTTGACCAGCTTCTCACTTCTTCAGAAGAAAGGGGCTGCAAAGATTAAGGGCTGGTCAGATGTGATGACTGATTAGAGAGAGGATTCAAAGGTAAGGCAAGGGTTCATGAGAAAGGGGAGAAATGAGAGGGATGATAAGAGGGAAGTTGAAGTTCGAGCGGCAGAAAGATGAAAAATGGAAATAAATCTCGATAGTTGAGGTGGAACAATCTTTTAGGATAGCTAATTAAGTTACTGCACCTTATAGTTGTATGAGTTGTGGAGATTGTCATTCTATGTAGCATTCTGGATGTGTCATTCAAACACATGATCCAAAACAAGTTACTAAGCATCATTAGGATCTTCACCATCAGCTTTTGCATCCAGAACCATGGTTAATGATTGAGTGGGCTGATTTTGTCTAGGTTGTACATCCTGTACAACATATCTATATAATTACATATAGCATTTAAATAGTTAAATGTTAAAAAAAAAATATGGGTAAGTTTGCTTTCTTGGTCTCTTGTTTCAATTTGAACGGTTGATACCATCATCCAGATTCACTTGGAAGTATTGTTTTTTGATTTCAAAACACTTTACAGGATTGCTATGCATCTGTATCATCTTTATCATAATCTAAACTCTTGCATTCTACAGGTCTAAGAGAATACTTTGGAGCCAACCCTACTCTTGCAAATGACTCTCCAACAGTTGTTCGGAAAACTTTCTCCGATACATCTGATATAAGTGTTGATTTTGAGGATGCTGAGTCCAAAGATGAATTTTATGATGCAATTTCTGCTGACGTATTACTTGAAAACGAAGATAGCGATGATGATGATGATGATGATGATGATGAAGTAGATATAACCAAGGTATTTCCTTTGTTTTTATTTTCCTTTGCAACTTCTATGGACCACTAGTATGATATAATGGTAGTTACATTTGGCCCTTTGTGGTGGGATTCTCTATTGGGATAGATTAGAGTAGAGACATTTCAAGGCATCTTGCAAAATATTTATACATATATTTGTCTCAAAGAAATCATATTGTATCTCCAATTGACTGGTCTGTGGTTTTCATCAGGAGGGAAAAATAAAGTTGAAGAATGTTTCATGGGCCCTTACAAGCTTGGCTTTGAAGAGCAAAGCAGGTTCCTCTCACATACTTTGGTTGGAATTGCATTTGGTTTCTTAATCTCTATCAAACTCATTACGTGGAAAATGCTTGCTTCAAAATTTTGATCTTTCACAGTACAGAGTATGAAGGTATTATACTGCACTGCAAAACAGGTGGTCTATTGACAAGCAGTTCACGACATAGTTTAAAGATCAGACTTGTCTTGAGACTTGACATAGTCTATGGCTAAGTCAACTCAATGCGACTTAGCTGAGTAACCCCATACAATAATCAGACTCAGTGGAGTCTTATAAGACTCGGCCAAGACTCAATTTCCTTAGTGAATTGACTCAGGGCAAAGGAATTGTTCGCGCGCATGTTACTAATCCCTTTAATTGTTGGGCTTTGTGGCCTTTAAAGGTAGTGAGAGCATGTAAATAAAATTGTTTGTAGTGTTTTTGCACTTCAGTGATAGGATACTGTGATGACTGACCTAAGGCTTGGCAGTCTATGGCCCTGGTCATGTCTAAAACCCTTTTTCCTAAGCATAAGGCCTTACCGTTGAGGGTTTATAGAGGGCCATTCGTTGTTGTGGTCAAAGAGATGCCGAGGGGCGTTGTTTGTGGGCCACAAGAGTTGTGTGGTCTCCTGTGTGTGAAGATGACCTTGTGAGAGCGAGGGCCAAATCCTTAACAAACCTTTCGCACGGCATGTAGATATGATAGTTGCATTTTGGGAAGAAATTTTATAAAGGGGGACACATGTACATGTGCATATAGAATGCCTCCCTTAGCACTGCAATGATATGTGCATATAACTTGTTCTTAGAGGCAACCTGTAATCCACATATTGGAAATATGATTCCACTGTTTATTGGTCAGTTTTGACGGGCCTATTATGAACCCCAACACTTGAGTATGGGTCAGGGGTTCCACTAGGTAGGTTTGGGAAGACAATAGAGCATCATGGATCTTGGCATGGGTGGAGTGCCTTGAGATTCACTTGTTTTAGACCTATTAGATGCAAATCCACTTCTATTAAGTATTTTTGAGTATACTAAGGTTTTTAAGGACTTCAAAAATATCAATTTCAACTAAAATTGTGTTTCTGTTATTTTTGGATGTTTTTTAGAATTTTAATATTGTTTCTAAATGCATAAAACTCCTTAAAGGGTATTTCTAGAATTTTATTTACACTGGGGTTTTGTAGAAAATTTTTTATATTAGGTGTCCCCCTTTTTTTGGTTGTGGTGGGGGAGGGGGAGGGGGTAAGGGCCCAGCCTGCCACACATGTGGGGACCACTTGGGCCAAATGCCCCACATAAAGACGTTGTTGATTTATTATGAAAATATTGTATTAATTGAGAAAATCTGAAAATATTTTGGTAGAGATTTTCCTATAAACTTATTTTCTTAGTGAAAATTATTTATTTGATATTTTCTTCTGGAAAGTTTTCCATGTGTCGGGGGACACTTTTTTACATTTGTGTCGCCCAAGGAATAAAGCATCCATTCTAAAGATGGATGCCAATAGGTGGTCCATCTAAAATCAGTTGATACTAACGGTCTAAATGTTTTCTTCACAAAACTATTATTTTTAGTTTTTAATATTTATTTATTTTGTCATATTCATGATCACCATGTTGGAGATTATATGTCGTTAAATTGACCAATTTTAGTTGTTTGAATTCCTAATTATCCAATCCCTTTGTGAGAGAAAAGTAATTCAAGATTATTCTAGATCGTCAAGAAGATAAGTTTAATAAAGATAGAAGTGGATAATGGGTCAAATCTCAGAGGGTAAACTTCCTAATATTCTCTTTAGATCATGATGGTTGATGTTAGAGATGAATGGCTCAGATTGATTCTCTCTGACCTCACAAATTGCCTAATTAATTTTATATTATGTTAAATCCTATTCTGGCTGGGACTACCTTGGGGCCTAAAGGCCTATATAAGGTGGGGTTTACTCCCCCTTCAAAAATAGATAGAGCTCTCCCATCTCTCTCTCTC